ATGTTCAACAGCCATCCCTCCAGGCTTCTCCAGAGCAAGGAGCTCTCACCTTTGGCGTGGAGAGCAGGTGGGACATGTTACATACATTTCTGACTATATAAATCTATATTCTGGGCAGCACTGCTTAACTTTGAAAAATTGTATTTAATGACTGATTATTGCGTGGAGGTTTGCCTTACTACGTGAGCTACTAAGGGGAGCTGGAGCAAGAGGTGAACAGTACAGAGGATGTAACGTTTCTTTCCTGTGCAGAGCGCCATGTAGTGCTCAAGTATTCCTGAAAGCTATAGCTGCACCAGAGAAGTCTCTAAGAGCCAAAAAACTTTGCTTTATATTTGAGACTTCTTTGAAGTTACTAAATTTGTTCAAGCTTCTTTATAAATCCTTTCCACCCAGCCAAGAGTCAGTCATTGCCCAAGCTTTCTCTGCAAATCCAGCTGCTTGTCCAACTCCTCAGCCACTGGTGAGACTTTCTGATTCATAGAGCTTGTAAGAAAAGGTGAGCATTGTAAGACAGAAAGAATAAAGGCAGATTAGATAAAGTTACAGTCACAAATGCCTGATTTTCTCCATTTTCTCCATTCTCCATCTGTGGCGCAGATGATATTTACAGTGAGAGATGTTTGCAGTGCTGATTTTATGCTAAGGGAACATTAATACCTCACAAATCTGTCCTGCACTGAACTCATGCAGAAATAGCTGAGGATAAACATGCTTCATCCTGAAACTGTCTCTCCTAACAGAGAGCCTCTGCCTGTGGCAACCAGTTATCACTGAATCTCTTCAGAGCCCCACAGAACAATGTCAGCTGGAAGCTATCTCTGCATGGCATCAAGTCTGACACCCTGCTCAAGGCCAGGACCACTCACAGAAGGCTGCTGAGGACGGTGAAAGTCTTGACTCAGTACCTTTGGAGACATGGAATTTCCTTGACTCCACTTGATGTTACTTGGGGCCACAGTTCCCCTTCGTGTTGCCGATCCATTATCAGGAAGGCAAAAGTTAAAATCTTCATGAGGTGTAGACACTTGTGGTATAGCCTCTGACAGGGAGGCAAAGCATGTGCTGCACTCTGAATGCTACAACCATTGCTTACGGTACCTGATCAGCTGTTACAGTGCTAGCTCATGGGGCTGAGCCATTCAAGCAGCAGTGCCACAGAATGGCTCCACGCAGCCAGTGTGCTGGATTTGCTACCGTCACCTCTGCATGCAAATGGCACATTAATACTGGTGCTGCTGAAGAAATGGCAGCAATTAAGCAGTCTGCTTCTCTTGATCACTTAGTAGGAAAACAAGTGGTCTCCGTACCATGATGAATGTGCTTTATGCCTCTGCGTGATCAAACTCCCACCGCTGCCTGCTGATGCATGGTACTTCTTCACAGAAACCTTCAAGAGGGTTTGAACTGTTGATGGCTCAAAAAACATTTAAAAAACTCTGCCTTCAACTAAGCAGTCTCCCTGTAAGTGGTTTTAAATCTCTCAGGAAGACTGTCTCCAAATCTTGACTATTAATGAGTACATTTAAAGGCTTTAAATTGACTACAGGTTGATAGGTTCATGAAGACCTTTCAGCAGAAATGTTGCCCTCCAAAATGGGGAGACATTAGAGTGAGATACAAAGTTACACTGCTGTAAATTATGAGAAACCTGAATTTTTAAGCGAGCTCAATTCATGTATACTAGAGAAGCCTGTAAGAGAGACTTTGTTCAAAAAGAAAGGGGAATAAATGGCCTATAGTCTTCCTTTTTATCACTGTATCTGGGCAGGGGTCATCTTCCTATTTGTTTGCCTCATCTACTGCTACCACTTATCCCTTGTTATGTGAGCTCTCTTCCCTTAGGAAGAAGCTGTCGGCTGCTGTGTGTTTGCACAGCATCTCATACAGTGAACAAAGCCCCTAGAGGCCACCAAAATAGGAAGAAGTTACACAGTGATACCAGCCTTCCCAAAAGCTAACAACTCTGAGACGGCTGTTGGCCTGGGTTGCCCAGAATCAAGTGCTTCAGCCCAGCTTTCAGCAAATAGTTAAATTTGCTGAAATTCATCTCATCCTAATGCAGACATTTTAAATAGGACAGAAGAATCATGCTCCAGAAATGCCTCTTTACTTACTAGTAAGGGAGTAGTAAAGGGACTACCTTTAATAAGATGCATGTATGGACTGCATTAAAGCCAAAACTTATTGGCATGAGGATTGCTATAAATGTAGACATACAAAAAATAAAAAACTGCTCTGAATTTACCAACTTCCATTTAAATAACACAGACATTGAGAAAGCATCATGATTCTGGGAAAGCCATCACACCTTCCCTAGGGCCCACCTCACCTGCTTGTGGTAATGTCCAATGTAGCAGTCCACATTGGAGCTGAGTGACCCTCAGTTCCCCTTATACTCAAAGGGGAAGACATAAGCATGCTCAGGGAGCAGTGTATTTCACCTACTTGAAATACCTGCCTTATAATGAAATTAATGATGCCCCAGAGGAATCTGCTTCTCTTTACTGCCCATCCAATTTTCCTCTGCAGCATTGGCAGGAAACTGGGTTCTGGAGCTGCCCTAGAGCAGATATGCCTCAGAACATCCCCCTTTGCTCTTTGTGAGGAAGATGACAATGCTGGGAATGTCTAAAAACAACCCCTAGGCTTCTCTCTGTATTAAGAGGGAAGGAGGTTTCAGCCTAAAAGGCAAGAAGAATCTAGGATAAATGACAGAGCTAAATCCTGGACCACAGAGGCGATTTTCTCTGTCCTTAGGTGCTAAGAAAGCAAAGGGATGAGCAATGTGAAAAGCACAGAGAAGTTATCGAAGAAAGGGTGCAATAAACATGCTAAAAAATGTGTTACTAATACTTCAGTACAGTGACACTGACAACAGAAGGAGCTGAGCAAAATGTCTTTTTTCCTAACTGATCTCTCTCAAGTCTGCTAGAACATAAACGGCACACCTGGAATTTCTGTGTAACATTATTATTGGAATTCATTGCTGCAAGAGACTGAAAAGCTTTTCTATCCCACAGTGACACTGCTGATGTCAAATGGTGACAGAATAGGGTTCTTCATATTTACAAATTTCCTATACAACTTGCTAGTAGTGCTCAGACTTAACAATAATGTATCCTCTGTGCCCTACAAATTCTGCAGGCAGCTGAAGATGCATTTAAATGAAGTAACTCTGATAGTTTACTGATTTGTCTGCTCTGTTCATAATTACCACCATTACAGGTATTACACAGCATCTAAAACATATGGGAAGTCTTTCCAGTGAATGATATTTCCTTTGTATGATGTGATACAGATGAAGATTTCAGGCATCCTCTTCTAATTATGCAGTAAAATATGTAGCACCAGATATTGTGTGAGAAGAAAAGAAACATTCTGTAAAATGTTGGGGTTTGGTTTTTTTCCCTCAGGATAAGTCTAATATGTTCTAAGGAGGAATGGGATTGTAGAAGTTATCACTCTTTCTAACCCTTAAAGCAAAACAATTTTCAGTGGACTGTTATGCCTGGAAAAGAAATAACACACTACCCCTTAAGCAAGGTAGTAAGGGCCATCAAAATGTACTAAGAGTATCACCTGCCTCCTCAGAAAAGGTTACCAGCTGAACTGCATTTTGCAAGGCTGGCTCTGTGGATGCAGGTGGGGGCAGTAAGTTTCCTTGCTTACAGAAGGACCATAGACCTTTTAAGAAAGGTTCTGCACGTAGATTCACTCTTAGCTTGTTCGTGGCTTATACTGCTTCACCATCCTCTGCTGCGAGGCAAAAATGCTGCAAACGCTGAAGCCGGTATCTAAGATGAGGAACCATTCATGGGGATGTGTGAAGTGACTGGCAGGGAAGCCCTCTCCATCAAACCCGAGTGCTGCAGTCAGATCCCAAGGAGTGGCCCAGCACTGGGGCGGATGTGGCTGACTCCCACCTCCTCCTCATTGCATCCTGTGAGCGTGGGATTTCTTGTTCCCAGTACAGAGACTATCCCAAGATGAATGATAAAGTAATTATTCAGTTCTTCAATGCACATTTCATTTCTCTTTCCTGAATCACAGTTCAAGTCCCTTTCAGACGTACCCTTGATATCAGAACAGTAGTCTAACTACAGACAGTCCTAACTTTAAAACAAACTACATCAATACTGTATAATGGATAGGATTCAGTTTACATGCTGGCTACATATGCAAGTATGTATGTACTTTGCAAAGAAGCACTGGAATTAATTAGTTTTTAAACTTACAGGCATATATTTCAAATTTTCTTTCTTTTTCTTTTTTTTCCTTAGAAGCTTGTTGCTTTTCAGTGCAGCAGTACCGTACACTACTGTGTTAACAGTATCAGACTACTCGGATGTGTCCAGAATGCTTTGATAAGGCTCCAGTGCTGAACGCGTCCCGAGGGCGCTCTCATCCTGCCAAATCCTAGGGGAGACAGGGGTGCCTCAGCTCCTCAGCGGATCTGTTGTCCCATCGTGCTTTGCAGTACGGAGACAGACTGGAATTACAGTTTAGTCCTTTGGTTCACTGGATAAAAGCCATCTCTATGCGTGAGTCCTGTGCACCACCTAAGGTCCTCTTTTAGACCTGACATTAGGATGTAAAATGGATATAAATGGTGCAGAGATCTGACTTTGGTTGCCTGCAGAGGGGTGAATTTCACCTACTAGGAACAGCTACAGCCAGGTTTTTGAATCCGCATGAAAGCGCTGACAATTTGCACTGGCTTGGCTGGGTTATGAAGATGCTCACACAAAATGTTTGACACTTTTGCAGGAATTTGGCTTATTTTGTACTAGAGAACAGATATGCTATACCTGAATTTCTAAACTTACTGTACTGGCATCAGAGTAACTAGAAACCACGAAACGTAGCATAGAAATAAAAAAGGAGCATAGACTATGTATAGGTATATTTACATCTACATACATCTACATATAGAAGCTTCTGTTCACTGGAAATCCTATAAGCCACTGCCTGCAATAGCATCCATCCTAAGGAAATTCTAGAGATGATTCTTAAGAGACTGAGGAGATGGGATTATGAGGTGAGCCCATCTGTGTCAGCACCTTATCCAGCCATTGCAATGGTCCATGCAGGTGGATCTCAATCCAGCAGGGCGTGCTTGTAACATCTTGGCGATGATACTCTGCTCCCCAGCCCTATAAAAGCATCAAAGGACCAAAAAGTGAGGTTTCTGGGTTTTTTTAAAAAGACATAAAATCACAACTGCAGTGCTGACAGTCTAACACAGCTATAGGCAGTCCATCACCCAAGTTACCAGGATTTTATGCTTTGTCCTAGGGATAATTTTCTCTAGAAACTTTGCTCCTTTTCAAGATCATTGTTACCATAGTTATCTGAGAACTCTATACTATTAAATTAAAAATGCTACATTTTAATAATGCTATTTAATGAAAATGTTCACTTCCAGGCGCTGAAACCAAATGGCATGGGAAGGCCTGTTTCCAAGCTTAGGTGCCTGCAAACAGCCCATGGGGAATGGTTCCTGCTGCTCACAGCCTAGAGACGTGCCCAGGAGAGTTTGCCAGACTGCTGTCTGGCACGGATGAAAAGCAGGACAGGCCCTGTCATAACACTTTAAGAGGAACTGGGAATGACCCTGGGCACTGCTTCATGTATTCGTAGAGATGCATCCTACGAGTCTGAGACTACAAGTTCTAGATATTCAACTGAACCTCTGGAAACTTCTGGCAAGGTTCCTATGTACCGTATGTAACCTATGTGTAGATATTTTCCATAATTTTTCTATCCTTGAAGATGTCCCTGCCCATGGCAGAGGGTTTGGAGCTAGATGATCTTTAAGGTCCTTTCCAACCCAAACCACTTTTCTCATGGGAATTCCCAGCTGCCTGCTGTAGGAAGTCCTGCAGTAATTTCTCCAGCTCTTTCAGGGAGATAAGGGATATGTAGTGTCTAACAGAAGATGAGGTTGTGGTTCTGGCAGGGAAAAATAGAACCAGAAGTCCCTGTGCCTCAAGCAAGCACAGTGTCTGCTTGTGAAGTAGGCAGCCTGATTTCACAGCAACACAAGACATCCAAGTCACAGTTCAAAGCCTCGAAGCTCAACGGCTGTTGCTGTCTCACTGCCAGAGCTGAACTTGGATTTTCATTGGGCAATAAGCAAAACATGGTCCCACTGAATGATAAGACTCTTCATTCGTGGGCCACTGATCAGAGAGACTGAGCCTCACCTGCCATAACGTTAGTCATGGGGGGTGATATTCTTGTCATGAAACAAGGACATGGTGCTATATTAAGACTGACATCTGCTAAAGGTGTCTACATTGTAGAGTGCTGAACAACTCAGACAACTGCGGCTGCTAGAACCCATGTCTCCAGACTATCACCTGCACAACTAGGATCAACGCCAAAACTAGATGCCATAATAAGTAGTCTGGATAAAATCCATTGCTACTTGATGAAGAAAAGGGGCAAGAAAGCGGAAGAGTATGATACAGACCCATCAAAGCCCAAAGAGTAGTTCTGAACAGGTGGCATTTTTCTGACTTGCAGTGCATTTATCAGGCTAGAAAGGGCCTGTGTTCCAGGCACCTCACATTAATGTTCTGGGAATGTTTGCATACAATATTTGAATGAGCCCAGTCAGATTTCTGAGGTTGTGAAGTCTCAAGCACTCACCTGCAGGGAAAATACACAGCCATAAGGACAAGCGCCACAGGAGCCGGTGCGCCTCTGTGACTGGACCGAAAAGCCAGAGGAATGGGAATGGCAGGTTGGAAGCACAGCCTGCCCGGTTTGGAGAGCCCGGCAGTGCAGGTGGCTGGGCACCTCCCTCTGCCGGCAGCTCCAGGCAGGCGATCACAGCGCTGCATCCCCAGGCTGCCGGATGGAGCTCCGGACAGGGGACATGCCAGCAGGGCAGCACCCCTGTGCCTCACTCCTGGGCCGCAGGTAGCCGGGGCTGAAATGAACCCGGAGGTGAAGCTCTTTTAAAGAGGGAATGAAACGAGAACCACTTGCAAAGCTGTGGTGGTGTTTTGCACTAATGGTGGGAAGAGGATAGTGATACCTGCACAGGGAGACCAGAAATGCGCCTTCTGGCACAGTGAAGATGCTGAGCAGTCCTGTTGCTCCTGCCAGTCCTTCCCACCTCCTGTGGGCAACAGCTCTCTCCAGCCCAGGCTCCAGCCACTGGGCTGCCTCATGCAGTGCATGAGGGTTGTCCCCTCAGCCCCAAGACCTGGAGAAATGCAGGAAGGATTCTGGGTTCACACCTCAGCTTAGAGGAACTTTGTGCTTCAGCTGTCTCCTCTGTAGAGGGGACAACAGCCACTCAGTGGATGGAAACTGTTGTCTGATCTCCCTGATGATAAACGCACATTTGCCTGAGGGTTGAGCTCCTCCTAGTTGCTTCATGGACACAGGAAGGTTGTGAGAAAGGACAGGACCTTCACATCCCTCTGTCCCATGTCCTGCCTCCAGAAGATGAGACAGTCCTGGCAAGTTTCTCATGTCTTAGTTCCTACCCATCCCTCCCTCCCAGCTGGTAGCTGAAGCATCAGTGGGGTAGGAGGCAAGGCTTGCCCTGTGGGGTCTAGGTAACCAGCAGCATCTGAACACAAATCAGAGGAGAAGCCACAGGACTATCATACACCTCGGGGCTTTTGGTGTGTGGCTCCAACAGACAACTTGCTCCTCTGTGCACTGCATACCCAACACCCAGGGACATTCCTGTTCCCAGACTGAATACACTGGGGCTCACACCTTAGGAGAGAAGTAATTGGAGAAGACTGAGTATAGGAAAGAGCTTTCCCAGTCCAGGAAGAAAGAACCAAGATGTCTACATTTTCCAAAGGTCATGGGAAAAGGTTCCAAATAACTCCTTGTACTGATTTTCTGGAGCCTGAGGCACTATAGTGGCTGCTATTGTTTCAACAAAGCAAGGTGATAATATGGCAGCAACATTATTTAGTGCATCAACATCACCATTTGTGCTGCCATGCTGGGCATGGAGGCAGATAACACATCAAAGAGACCGCCCCTGAGTTGCTGAGATAATGAAAATATTGCGTAACTGGCTACACTGCCTTTACAAACAACATGTCTATTCATGTCTTTCGTTAAAGAAAATGCTGTTTGTTGGGTTTCTTGCTTTCTTTTTTTCCTGTAACACTTGTGTGTGAACAAGATGTCAGTTCCTTCTCAAGAACAAAGTAACAGTGGTCACGGGCAGGGAGATTTTGGCTTGGACTCTTGGGAGAAGTTACAGAGCACTCTTAATGCTCTCATAGAGTTAAGGAGAGAGGTCCCCAAGAATGACTGGAAAGAGTCAGACCAGAAAGCCGTGTGGGACTCAACTCATCTACTTTTAGAACATACGGGAACTGGGCTCGGGCCTCAAGCAGTTTTTTAGTATCCTAGATGTGAATTCAATCAGCTTGATTCAGTCATTTGTATAGAACCACACCTGCAAGGCATGGGACATACTCAAGCCACTTCTTACGGGACCTAGCAGGACCAACTGGCTTCTAATGGTGCAACTTCTTTAGTTTGCAGGCTGAATAGTCCCCTGCAGCACTATAGGAAGTAAGTCTAGCACATCTGTAAACAGTCTTGAAATACTCACCATTTTCTGGGTTTTAGATGCTATAATAGGCATCTAAGTAAATCCTAAGTGCTAAAAGGAGTTAAGGTTGCATTTGGGTGAGAAGGCCATTCAGAAGATTTAAGAAACTCACTCTTAACACTGACAGATCACACACAAAGCAGACTGCAAAGTTCATATATGAAAGACATGAAAACAGCAATGGCTTAGGTGGCCTCCTGTTTCTTCCAAATAACAGAGGGAAGGTCAGATGTTGTTTTGGGGTTTGTATTCTGCTTGCAAGAAGCCCTTCTGATCCTGTGGCTGGCCAGAGTGAATGTCATCAGAAATTAAGACAATCTCTTGCCAGGGATGAGACAGGTGACAAAGAATAAGAATTAACAGCAAACTCTGTGGGGGCTGAAGGAGAACCCAGTGTTTCTTTATTGAGGCTATATTTACCTGTCTATAGTAATGGTGAGACTGTAAATTAGTCTAGAAACATAAGGACGTTCTTTTCAGATCTATGGCTCTATCAAGCTCTATTGCAAATCAGTAATAATAGGAGAGATCACAACTGCCTAAGATACGTGCTACACTTACATTTTGCTAAACCTCTCTAAGTTGAGCTCTTTATGCAAACAATGGGGAAACATCACCATGCAATCTCTGCTTATTTTCCACAAAAGAAGGCTATGGAATACCTAGTTTTTGGAAACTAAGAAATTTCCAGGCTGACCACAAAAGCTACTAATTTTAAGCACCTAGAAGTTTAAGGCAGTAGCAGAAAACAGGCAGTCTGAATTGCTATTTGCAAGTTGGGTGTCTAAATCCCCACTTGGGAAGGATTTGATGGGGTCTATTTTTGATGGGATTTGTCTTTCAGAAATGCAAGAGAAAACAAAGAATCCTTACTTTAACAAAGCTCATTCGAATAGTACACATCTTGGTCAGCTCATACACCACTTCGAAACCATGATTGACTGACTGAGCCAGCAACTGGGCAAAAAGCTGGTTGTTGAAGATCTTGAGGCTGCAGCCACTGGGGATCTTGCAGACAGTGGCTGGGTGGAAACCATGCTGGTAGTTACAGTTACGGCTTTGCACAAAAATACTGCTGTCACTGACACATTCAGCATAAACTTCCCCACCAACGTAGTAAAGATGAACACCTTGAAAAAGAAAAAATAACATGCATTATTTCTCCATTGTTCACAGCCTACTTTGCATCAGTAAGTCTTACTGGTGAGGGCATACAAGCCCAGGAATCAGTGCCTGTACACTGCTTTTCAAAAGACAGTAAACTATGTGCATGTCCATGTAACTGTACAATGAACCCACCAACATTAAGAGGAAATTGTCATAAACACTATTTTGAGAAAAAAGTCTTAGCATGTGATGTTTTACTTTGTTTCTAACGGGAAGGTTGGTTTACTTCTTTAACCCAACAACACAGTATAACAAGACACACACACATACACATGTAAGTATCAAACATATGTTCACTACACACAAAGAATGGATCAAAACTGTAAGAGAAGTAACAAATCTGTCATGCATTACACATCTAAATGTATTTTCACTATTGAGCACATGCAGGCTGACCAAGACCAATTTCATTGCACGCTAGTTTTTTACTACAGGATCCTATCTCATGCAGTTGAAACACAGCATGGTGTGTACTTAAAATAACTTTCCTGCATTTTGCTTTATCCACCACATCAAAACCATGTATTTGCATTTACATGACATGACTTACTCATCAGATCCTGTTCAAAGTGACCTTTAGCAAGAAAATGACTGATTGCCTTCTGGACTTTCAGCGCCCAAGTAAGTGACTTACTGACACTAACTCTCAGTTTTTTTCTGTGCCTTGGGGAAACGAAGATGGAAGCATTCCTATCCATTAAAAGACTCTGGTCCCTCCAGGATGTCTGCTTGCATGAAAATACACCTAAATTGGTGGGAGAATTTATCTTAGCCCAATTCAGCAACTGTAAAGTTAGGGATCTTGTGTAAGCTGTGTAGATGCCTTCCCTAGTTGATGATAAGCACTGTGACCAGATGATTCACTCCATCCACTATAGAGCACAGGCTTACAGCCAGCTTGAACTGATGGAAGTCTGTGCAGGTGCTGAAAAGGCTAGCTAGCTCATTCCTTGCCCCTGCTGCTCCTTCCCACACCCGCTTTCATGCTGGCAGTGATGGCTGGGGATTGGGCAGCCATCCAGATCTGGGAACTGAACCAGCTAATAAACTTAAAAACAAACAAAACAAAACAAAAGAAGATTTATTTGAAGTGAGATCTTCATCAGTGCAAGCGTGGCAATGGGGACCCAGACTTCTTAAACTTGTGCATGAAACCACACCCTGAAGGGGCCAAGTCATCCTCTGAAGATGCCTAGACATTCACCCTTCCCATGGCTAGATTAGGTGAGAAGAACCCCTCCCATGGCCAAGAAAGGTGGGAGAACTCAGTTCTTTGTTCTCATAAAAACCACCACTAAGGGAAAATAAAATCCTCCTCTCTATTCCCAGGTATGGCAGTCAAACCCTTACATACAAATGCACGTTCACAGAGTCTCAGTGGCCTGCCTGTAGAGCTAGTGACAACTATGCTTTAATAATTCAGTTGTAATTAGTTTTATTCCTGTTGTCTTTCATACAAAAAAGACTGGTTACATATTCCCAGTCTGTTCATCATTCTGTGGTCATGACAGCAAGGGGCACTAGCACATCCTTAGGATAAAACCAGCTTCTAAACATAAGTGGGAAAGACTCGGGGAAAAGCAGGTTGAGTGGGAAAGGAATCTGGGAAAAATACACTCTCCCATAGACTTCCAGGATGACTCAGATGGGAACCTTAAAGTCTGTCTTCAAGCCATCACTTGACTTTTACTTCTATGCACCCACGAGATCTCAAATTAGATGTGAGTGGCAGGGGTGTGGCTCAGAGCACATGCTAGTATTGCACTGGGAACACGGGTGAGATGACAGCTCATTAGACCAGCTGTCAGCTCCAGTCCAGCTGCACCAGACATCATGGGGAGTTGCACACTGTGACTGCTATTACTTGACTTACGTCTCCTTTCCCTTCTGTGGAAGATGGATAAAAGGGAAGGACTGAAAACAAAGAAGTCCTAGCTGACCTTAATGGAGTCCATATAACTTTCTGAAATCACAGAATCATTAGGCTTGGAAGGGAGCTCTGGAGATCATCTAGTCCAACCCCCCTGCCAAGGCAGGGCCACCTAGAGCAGGTTACACAGAAACACGTCCAGACGGGTTCTGAATGTCTCCAGAGAGGGAGACTCCACAATCTCCCTGGACAGCCTGTTCCAGTGCTCTGCCACCCTCAACATAAAGAGTGATAAGAAGAATAAGGATATAAATATTCACCACATTTCAAATCTTCAGGTGTGGCTACTGATTTAGGGTGACCACATTTCTGGGTGAGAAGGTGAAAAATTTTAAAGGCAGGATTTCTGCAGTATACTAAGTAACCCAACTTCTGAAAAAAAAAAATGAATGCTTTCAAAGGCATTGCCCAAACTGAGTACTATAATAAGAAAAATGCCAATGTCACTTCTGAAAGCATAGGCTACAATTTGCCTTTTCCTTATGGACTTTTTAAAAGAAATAAATAAAGGAGTAATGAAATGTCAGTGTGTATTTCCATTCTTCTGGTATTCATTCACCAGAGGCAAGCATCCTCAAGGAAGCCAGACAGCTTAATACACATTTGTAGAAGGCCAAATCAAGGGTCCGTATGTTTTAGTGGGATTTCACTGCTCCCTGCAGAAACTGAAAATTCATCAGTCTCCCAGCATCCACATCTTTTTGACTCTGATCAGAAGTCCCCTTTTTGTCCTTGAATTCTTACTGCTGAAACAGGTCCAATTGCTAGTAGATGTTGCATTGTGTACTGGATTGTTTTTAGCTTTGATGTAGTATTTCCAGGAAACCGTTTCACGCTGATACACTAGATGACAATTCAATCACATATCCTTACCCTACTGAGCTAATCTTGTTTACTCACTCTTTTTTCTACCCCGTTAACATGTGACAATTGTATCTATTTCAGAAGCTTTCATCTGTCTAGCATGCCTTTGAACTACATACTTTAGGAGCTGCTCTGTGCTCTTCTGCAGGCCTGTACTGGTGCCACTTCTACTCCACTTGGACATGTTTTTTTAACATTTGCATAATCAGGGAAGAGCAGTAAAATTAAGGATCTCTGATATACTAAGCTCCTCTCTGGGCAACCTGCTCCCTTCCCTTGGGCAGATTCCTAGAGTAAGACTTTAAAGGACTTTTAACCAATGAAGACAGATCTTCAGATTTGAGTGGATGAGGACCATTAGCATTCACCTCATTTTCTTTCTGTTCTGCCTCTTCCTTTTTTGGGGCAGAAAGTCACAGGATGTAACATCCTCAAATGACAGCTTTGACTGGGATCTTTTGTCAGTCTTCTTTTAGGGCTGGGCTCAGCTTTGATCTATACCCCTCTGACAGCTTATACTGACAGACAAGCTTTGCTCTATTTCTGAGTAAGTTAGAACTAGGTGTACAACCCATTTCCACCCCTCACAACAAGCTACTATGACAGACACTTGTAGCATCATACTGGCTTCACACAGTCCATCTGCAACACAAGTGCTTTCCTTTCTGGAGAAAAGTGCAAAAGCTAAGTACAACGTCTCCTGTGCTAGCCTACAGGTTCAGTGTTGTTTGTAAAAATGATGCCACATTCATCTCAGAGCTTCCTGGTATTCAGTCACTCAACACTAGACTATCAAGAGCCAATTAAAATACTGCTCTAGGCCTGGGAAATGAGGTGAGGTTGACGAGATAATAGGAGTGGAACAATTAGAGTTAATTAGCCCAGTGGGAAATCCATTCCCAGGCAGCTACTGGTGAGAGGCTGGGTTGGCAAGATAATGAGTCTAGACTGGATATACCAGAACGGGCAAAGCTCCATCTACACAGAGAAGTGGCCTGTACAAGGCTTCTGACTCACTGCCACAAACAGCAGTAAGTTCTGGGAGAACAGCAGGCCCTACATAGCCCTAGTGAACTGGGATGGAGTGTGTGCAGCCACACATGTATATGTACACAGGGTATATGTACACCAGAATTGGAGCATACAAAAACTGCTGAGGGAGAACCCAAGACTTAGTTTTACTAGTGAGAAGTTGACAAGGCAGGGAATCAGACTGATAGAGAGGAAAAAGCTACAAAGTCAACCCCAGTATAGTTCTCCAGCCAAGAAACTCAACTACTAAGTGTTTCATCCATCTCTCTTTGTTATTTGGTGGGAGGAGAACCAGCCTGAGGCACCGGCAATTATCCTTTTAGTGGCATTTCAATGGCAATATTCCCAGTTGCCAGAAGCCCTAATAAATAAAATGAAAATACATACTGCTAAATTAGAACACACAACTATAAACAACATTTTTCTCTTCGCTGGCCAAGTAAATAGCTTTTGTAAGGAGCTACTCTGGTGATTGTTCTCCAGTCAGAAAAGAATCAGCGGCTTTTCTTCTATTTCAGAAGTAATCTCAGAGCTTAGGTTTTAAGACAAGCACATCTGACAAGTCAGCTGGGTTTATTAATGCAATGCACAGTTCTTTCAAGCTCCGAATATTCCTGAGGAGAAGGGATTTTCTCTTACCTTTTCCTATGTGTCTCCTGGTGTTTTCTATAGTAGAGTTGCGGTTTACATTTGAGAGCAATCCCAGGCAGAACCTGTTTTTGTTATTTGAGGGATCTGTAAATCCATCTATAAGGATACTTCGAGAGGAAGCCTGGAAAGTCTCCCCTACCCGGTTGTTGAGTTCATAGTAGGCAACTGAGCACCAGTGTTGCGGTTCCTCATAGCAAACAGGGCGAAAGTCTGTAGGAAATAAAATTAATCAGCTGCTCAGGTCCCTACTATTTTTTAAACAATCATTCTCTGTTTTCTTTCCTTCCTC